TTCATTTCCGTCTCTCCGATTTATTTTTGATTACGGTCTTTGTAGTTTAGGCTATAAACCCCGGAGCACTTCATTTTGTTGACTTTTTCATGTTGAATGAGCAAACTGGTGAAGAGCACTTTCCGGTTTTTCGAAATTGTACAGATGTTCCATTTCAATAGTACTGGCTACAGCTTCTGAGCCAACCCAGAGGAAGGTAGACAGATCCATCATTTTTCCTGTTTACTTTGCTGTCCTTTCATAATCGTTTTTCTTTCATCCGCTCTTCACGATCCATATGCTGCTTTGTGTTGCTTCTTCTGGATGTTAGTTTACAAAAAAACTGCAGAATTAGTTTTTCCAGTTCTTCTTCCAAGAGCTCAGAATCAGCAAGCCGTAGGCTTCTTATGACGATTATCTGGAGTATTCTAATCTTCATTCAATAAGTATGGTTAAACTGGAAGGTAAGAGTTATTCCAGCAAGCTATTTCATTCTGTCATTCACCTTCTTTAACTTAAGCCAGATAGATTTTGCCAGTTTATGTGTTGTCCAATTTTTGTCTCACTGGATCTACTTCCTTGTGTACTTTCAGCTAACTATATTCTACTGTGCCTCTTGCATCCTTTCATAGACGAGAATTAATTGTCCATTTGCCGAGTTCCCTGTTCATATACATTTCCTTTAGCATTTCTTGAAATGCTCCTTTGAGTTTTACTGTTTGGTCCTGTCAGAAATTTATAACTTGTGGTGTTCTCAAGTCTATTTTCCATTTTATCTAAATATTCTTTCCTGACCATCACTATTGTGACACCTCCATTATCGGTTTTGGTCGTTTTTTTCACTTACCCATATATCTTAGTTATATTGTTCTTATCCGTGGTATCTTGATTCACCAAGACTGTGGTAATTATTTCTATTTCCAGCCGTCTTTTTGATACTTCCATTAGCTTATAAGATTAATTTATCACCTCCACTACAATGTACTCGATTGCCTTTGTTTCCTTCCAAAGGGAAAAAAATTATTCTTTTCTTGAGAAGCTCCGCGGTTTCGAAGTCAAGTGGGACGGAAAATAGATTCGCTTCTTTATCTTGATTCCCTCTCTGGACTGCGATTCCTCATTCTAGAAGCATCTTAGTTTTTATTAAATGGTCGGAACTTGGACTGACTATATATCCCATATTTATTCAACTTCTTCTGGTACCTTTTTTGATTAAGTGCGAGATCCTTCTTGGCATTTTGTCTGCCATCTTCTGTAGTTTCAGAAAATATTCCGGGGAATGAATATGACTCAAATCGTGCCTGAGTATCGACTTAATATTTAAAACCTTAAACAATTTTCACCTCTCCTTATCATATGTTTCTCTAATTTACGCAAAGAAGCTTTGTCGGATTGATATTTTCTCATCAAATTGCGAAAACTAGGAGGGATGTCATAACGTTTAAAACAGCTAATAAAGCTCAAGTGACAATATTTAATTACTATTTTCTTTGATATGCTGTAATCTGTGCATTATCCGACAATCTTACCACCGTAATTAGATCGTATATATGAAAACCAGGATGGTATGGCTTTTTGTTTGATCGCAGTCTCCTTCAGCTGTGCAGTATTGGTTTGGCCTAGTTTTCGCAATTTGTTTTAGGCAGCAGGGAGACTTTGTGGAACGTACCTGGTCCCTCGTCCTTTGTTAGACTATTCATGATTTCCAGCATCGAACATCTGGGAATGTACTAAGTCAACGGTCCGATGCTTGAAAGCATCATGAATATTCAGGCAGAGGACGCAGGAGTAGGTACCTTCCACAAGGTTTCCATATTTTTCTGATTAAGTCGTGAAAACGGAGACAAAACAACACTATACAGTTAAAAGAGACAGCAATTGAACAAAAGACCACACCATAATGGTCTTCATACTTCCGATCTAAGTGTACTGTTTATTGTAAATTATAACTTTCGATTTCCATTTATCTCTCGGAGACAATATTTGGTCATTTCTCTGTAATTTATAGCGCATCATCGTCATTCTACTACTCTTTATATGATCTTGATGATTCAAGATTCTAATAATTATTTC